AAAATATTTATTTAATTGCCTTTTTTTTTGTTATCTGATTTCCTGATAGCTGCTAACTCTTGTGGCCTCGACGAGGACAGGAAGCCGACGGCTTGTCGAAGGTCCCTTCTTTTGCCATGATGATCTCTCCAGGTATATTTTGAAACACAACAGAGTTTTGACATTTAGGACTTGGGCAGGTACTAATTTCTATGGGTTTAAAACCATGTGGAGGTGAAAAAGCATCTCATATCTTTGTAGTATATATTTTTATATATGCAGTATATATTATAATATGTTCTCAGATATCCATGTGAAATTTGGAATGTACTTGCATTATGTTCCGTATTAGTCATCATTTTAATGTTATTTGCTCTTCAATGTAAGAGTCACCGTTCGAATTGTAAATAATGACGTTTTCATTTGGTGTACAAATGTTCACTCCAGCCACAACTGTAATAATTTCAATTGATCACTCAACAAAGGCTTTTAAATCTTAATAATAAAAACTATGAGGACGTTATCTGTTAGGAAGAACCATATAGAAGACTTGCTTTGTTATTCACAAACAGAAAGAATTGTCCTGATGGTCAAAACAGTGATAATAACTTCTCGTCAAGAATCAGTTATTCCACTTGACCCGTGATGCTAACTCTCTGTTCCCGTAAATATAACACACTAATTAACCTCATTAATTAATAAGGTTTGCTTAATTTTTTAAGTTTTAGCGTCAAATTATTCAATGCAGGCTGACGAGCACTCAATGTGTGGAAGACTCTGTGTTCTCATGCCAGTATACATGCAAGAACTCACAATGCAAAAGAAATGTTTTTATTTGTTCTATAACCAATGTTCCAACAATGTGTAAATATTTCATTCAAAATTATATGCTACCAGAATGTTTAGCCAAATATCACCAGTTTGCTAACTGTAGGTAGTAACTAAGTGATTGTAAGCTATCCACCGCTACCCACTGGATGGGGGGCGGTGTGCAGGACAAACATATCAATTGTGACACTAGCTCTCCACATATGTCAGCTGCTTAATAAAGAAACTGTATTTGTGGTCGTTCTCGAACCCATTGATGATGTGACGGTCTTATACTAAATTTTGTAACTAGCTCATCAAGATTGTAACTTGTTTAGCTACATGAATTGTGGGGTTCAGTCCCTGAGCCCATTATGTGTCTCTGTAACCCTTTCCACTCCCGCTCCCAAGATGGGTCTCGGGTGCATAATAAATGAACTAAACTAAACTATTATTATGTTTGAAATAAAACAATTATACTTTTTTCATTATTTATATATATATATAATGTATTGTTTAGCATATAATTAAAAAAAAACTTAAAATTTTTAATTATTAAAATAGTATTTATATAGGAACTTTAAGAATTACATAATTCATGAATATTTTGTGATAAGTATAATATTTGTAATTTCACTATACGTAGATCAATACCTCTTCGCTTTGGCATATTTAAATATTTTTAAAGCACTTAGGTGCTAAAAACAGTGATTAATATATTCCTTAAAATTTATAAGAAAATATCCTGAGTTACTTAAGTTAGTTTCTTACAATTGTGCTTTTTCATAGCAGTTTAAGGATTGATAACTAATATCAGTGTTGAGCCGACAGTTAACGGCAGTTACACAGCATCAACATTATATGAGGTAGTGCAGCGACCAGACCTGTTCAAGTTCAAGTATGTTTATTAAGCAATATGATTGTTACGTGTAACAAATCAAAGTTCCATTACCATTCTGTTGAAAAAATCGACCTCATATATAATGAAATGGGTAGCTTTATCATTTCATAAGAAAAAAAATAGAGAAAATAAATTAATTCAGGAAAACTTGGCTTATTAGGCAAATCGGGCCTTGCATTGTAGGCCGAGAAGTGCGTTCTGGCTACTAGGTACGACATAAATATATATTATATATATATATATATATATATATATATATATATATATATATATATATATATATATATATATATATATATATATATATATATATATATATATATATATATATATATGTCGTACCTAGTAGCCAGAACGCACTTCTCAGCCTACTATGCAAGGCCCGATTTGCCTAATAAGCCAAGTTTTCATGAATTAATAAGCCAGTTTTCATGTTTTTCGACTACCTAACCTACCTAACCTAACCTAACCTAACTTTTTTGGGTACCTAACCTAACCTCACCTATAAAGATAGGTTAGGTTAGGTTAGGTAGGGTTGGTTAGGTTCGGTCATATATCTACGTTAATTTTAACTCCAATAAAAAAAAATTGACCTCATACATAATGAAATGGGTAGCTTTATCATTTCGTAAGAAAAAAATTAGAGAAAATATATTAATTCAGGAAAACTTGGCTTATTAGGCAAATCGGGCCTTGCATAGTAGGCTGAGAAGTGCGTTCTGGCTACTAGGTACGACATATATATATATATATATATATATATATATATATATATATATATATATATATATATATATATATATATATATATATATATATATATATGTCGTACCTAGTAGCCAGAACGCACTTTTTGGCCTACTATTCATGGCCCGATTTGCCTAATAAACCAAGTTTTCCTGAATTAATGTATTTTCTCTAATTTTTTTCTTATGAAATGATAAATCTACCCTTTTCATTATGTATGAGGTCAATTTTTCTTTATTGGAGTTAAAATTAACGTAGATATATGACCGAACCTAACCAACCCTACCTAACCTAACCTAACCTATCTTTATAGGTTAGGTTAGGTTAGGTAGCCGAAAAAGTTAGGTTAGGTTAGGTTAGGTAGGTTAGGTAGTCGAAAAACAATTAATTCATGAAAACTTGGCTTATTAGGCAAATCGGGCCTTGCATAGTAGGCTGGGAAGTGCGTTCTGGCTACTAGGTACGACATATATATATATATATATGTCGTACCTAATAGCCAGAACGCACTTCTCAGCCTACTATTCAAGGCCCGATTTGCCTAATAAGCCAAGTTTTCATGAATTAATGTTTTTTCGTCTACCTAACCTACCTAACCTAACCTAACCTAGCTTTTTTTGGCTACCTAACCTAACCTTACCTATAAATATAGGTTAGGTTAGGTTAGGTAGGGTTGGTTAGGTTCGGTCATATATCTACGTTAATTTTAACTCCAATAAAAAAAAATTGACCTCATACATAGAGAAAAGGGTTGCTTTATCATTTCATAAGAAAAAAATTATAGTAAATATATAAATTCAGGAAAACTTGGCTTATTAGGCAAATCGGGCCTTGAATAGTAGGCTGAGAAGTGAGTTCTGGCTACTAGGTACGACATATATATATATATATATATATATATATATATATATATATATATATATATATATATATATATATATATATATATATATATATATATATATATGTCGTACCTAGTAGCCAGAACGCACTTCTCAGCCTACTATGCAAGGCCCGATTTGCCTAATAAGCCAAATTTTCTTGAATTAATACATTTTCTCTAATTTTTTTCTTATGAAATGATAAAGCTACCCATTTCATTATGTATGAGGTTAATTTTTTTTATTGGAGTTAAAATTACGGTAGATATATGACCGAACCTAACCAACCCTACCTAACCTAACCTAACCTATCTTTATAGGTTAGGTTAGGTTAGGTAGCCGAAAAAGTTAGGTTAGGTAGGTTAGGTAGTCGAAAAACAATTATTTCATGAAAACTTGGCTTATTAGGCAAATCTGGCCTTGCATAGTAGGCTGAGAAGTGCGTTCTGGCTACTAGGTACGACATATATATATATATATATATATATATATATGTCGACATATATATATATATATGTCGTACCTAGTAGCCAGAACTCACTTCTCAGCCTACTATTCAAGGCCCGATTTGCCTAATAAGCCAAGTTTTCCTGAATTAATATATTTACTATAATTTTTTTCTTATGAAATGATAAAGCAACCCTTTTCTCTATGTATTAGGTCAATTTTTTTTATTGGAGGTAAAAACAACGTAGATGTATGACCGAACCTAACCAACCCTACCTAACCTAACCTATCTTTATAGGTTAGGTTTGGTTAGGTAGTCGAAAAAGTTAGGTTAGGTTAGGTTAGGTTTGGTTAGGTAGTCGAAAAAGTTAGGTTAGGTTAGGTTAGGTAGGTTAGGTAGTCGAAAAACAATTAATTCATGAAAACTTGGCTTAGGTTAACACGTCTTCCTAGTAGACGGAGCTTTGGCTTACGTGTACTAAGAGAGGTGATAGCTTAAAGCCAATATTCCTGCACCAATATTTACGTTATTTGCACTTCTTGTTATTGCTCACTTGTCTTAACGTAACTTTTCACTTTGTCATTTAAATTATTCTTATTATTTTGATTGATTGATTTTATTATACGAATTTGTATGTCCATTTTATTCATGTTTTGTTTATCTAACGTAATTAAAATTCCATTGTTAAAATTTACTTGTGTTTTGTGTGTCTTCTCCTTACCTTACCACAGACGAAGTTCCAGATTTTCTATTTTTTTTTTTATTCTATGTGACGAGGCCATACCCCTAGCTTTGAACAGCCGAACACCAACGCGTTACCGTCACAATATATATATATATATATATTATATATATATATAGCCAAGTTTTCCAGAATTAATATATTTTCTCTAATTTTTTTCTTATGAAATGATAGAGCTACCCATTTCATTAAGTATGAGGTCAATTTTTTTTTATTGGAGTTAAAATTAACGTAGATATATGACTGAACCTAACCAACCCTACCTAACCTAACCTATCTTTATAGGTTAGGTAGTCGAAAAACAATTAATTCATGAAAACTTGGCTTTTTAGGCAAATCGGGTCTTGCATAGTAGGCAGAGAAGTGCGTTCTGGCTACTAGGTACGACATATATATATATATATATATATATATATATATATATATATATATATATATATATATATATATATATATATATATATATATATATATATATATATATATATATATATATATATATATATCTCACTTTATTTAAAAATTTCTTTACACAACAAGGATTTCACCATTGGTTACTTGTTATAGGATGATTGATTGATAAACATTAAGCCACTGAAGAGATGACACGTGTATGAATAGCCTGTGATTGTCAGTGTGCAGTTATATTATCATGTTATAGTTATATTATATATGTAGTATGTATTATTATATGCGTAGTATATATTATTATGTTTTCAGATATTCCTATGAAATTTGGTATGTACTCGTGTTATGTTAGTACTTAATTTTTTAAGTTTTAGCGTCAAATTATTCAATGCAGGCTGATGAGCACTCAATGTGTTGAAGACTCTGTGTTCTCACGCCAGTATACATGCAAGAACACACAATGCAAAAACAATGTTTTTGTTTGTTCTCATATGTGTATAAATGAATTAAATCCTATGATTAATCCTATTTTGTTCACCCCCTCCTATTCATCACTGTAGAGGTCAATAAATGCTTCAGCTTGTGTTCTGGTCAAACAAACCCTTCGAACTAAGCGTCATGGGATTATAATCAATACAGTGATGAAACGAAAAGAAAATGAATCACAAAGAGAACACACATGAAAAGCAATAAAGTGTTGGGTGCAACTTGCAGTTGCATTCTGTTCTTGCAAGTGAGTCATCACCTATAATGGTCACTTTACTTATTCTTGATCACTGTCATATTCAACATTATTCATAATATTTTTTTTTTAATAAATGCCATGAGCAATATTAAAAGTTTTGTCTTGTGTAATATTTTATACAGTTCCTTATACTTCTTCAGTGATGAGATGACCTCCAATCCCTTATACTTCTTCAGTGATGAGGCGTGCTACATTCCCTTATACTTCTCCAGCCAAGCTTCAACTTCCCGCAGCTGCAACATATCCAGAATATATTATAATTATCTACGTACCATGTGGTACTAGATACCATATGGTATCTAGTACAAATGATGTTTTGTACAAATTGTGTCAAGTACAAATGGTATCTAGTATAAATGTCATCTGGTTCAAATCATGTCTAGTACAGTTGGTAGAAATGATGAATCTTGATATATTAACCAGAGTAAACAGTGAGATACATGAATTCGTGTCAACATTAGGGTCGAGTATCTATATCTACTTGTGTTTTGGTGAGGTACTTATGAGGAGAAAGCACTAAGCCAATACGACTATTTAGCACTTGGAAGGGATTTGAGGACAAGGAGCTGGGAAAGGACGGAAGGAAAGGTTCGGTTCCTAACCACTTGGACCGTCGGAGATCGAACGCCGACTTGCCTGAAGCCAGACCGCCGCTCTACCGTTTAGCCCAAGTGGTTGAGCAGTTCTAGTTAGCTATGTACCTTGTACTCAAAGGGGCCTGGTCCTCCCTTGTAAACAATTACACCATCCTGGACGATGTAAAGGCGCTCAGGTACAGGGGCGTAGGCCCTGCTGGTCTCCTCAGTGAGCAGATCCACTAGCACCGGACACTCCAGGGGCTCCATGGTCAACATGTGTTGTGCTGCTGCTGTCCTCTCCTCCAGTGTTCTGTCAAGGATCAACATTACATCTCAAACTGACGGAATTTTACAACATTTATGAGGCAATTAGTAAATGTGTCTTGCGGTGAATGTCTCTTTCTATTTTAATGCTTCTGTCAGAAATATTTAGATCACGTAGTGGGATCGAACACGCGTCTTTGAACTCACTAGTCACGCGAACAACACGAGTCCAGGGACGCTGGTTCCATTCCATTATATGGTCTCAATATTTTTGACAAATTCTATAGTGATTCTATATGGATGTGGGACCCACTGTATGGAGTGTGAGAGAAGTCGTTGAGGCAGCAAGTCAAAGCGTGACTGAGAATGATAGCAATTGAACGTTTAATTGAAGTTGAAGACAAGGATGTGTGATGATACGGTCACTCCTTAGCAGCTCTGCTGATGGGTAGTTAGCGAGATCAGGGGCTCTTAAGTAGACGAATGAGTTTAGGAAAAGTTAGAATGTAGAACGAAATGATAAACTTGTATGTTGTGACAGCTAAACAGAAGAGCAGCAAGCATTAAATATGCATGAGAAATATTTTGTGCTTGCAGGCAGTGTGCATGATTTTTAAAGGCGAACTCGAGTCGCATAGATTGGACTAGATTCACCGGTCACGCCCTCGCTCATCTCAGCTCACAACACTCAACTACCCAGCTATACCTGATAAACATTGTTTCATCTCAGGAATAATTCATCACTCTAGCCTGAGTAAGATGTGCGATCAATGAATCACATCACCAGTATATGATGCTCTAAGGAAGGACCATTTCAATATGTGAAGAAAAACCAAATACAAGACACATCCACAAACTTGTGAGTGGCGATGTTGAGGCCTCCTTGGATGGCCCAGCCGTCGGTGGGGTGGGCCTCAGCGACGTACACCACGACGAAGTCTGCCATTCCCGAGAAATCATCCATAATCTGCAGACGAGGAGTCACAATAACGTGGCTGAAATATGTTGACCAAACCACGCACTAGAAAGTGAAGGGACGATGACGTTTCGGTCCGTCATGGACCATTCACATTCGACTTGAAAATGGTCCAGGACCAGGACCACACACTTTCTAGTGTTTGTGGTTTGGTTATCCATAATCTGCGCATGAAGGAAGGAGACCCGCTCACCCCCTGGTCGTTGTGTACGTTCATTCACTGAGTCCACTTCATATGTGTGAGTGTGCATAGAGACAGGAACAGTTGTGGGACGCAATGTATGTGTGTGTACTAATACATACACTGCAGATACATATGTTTCTGCACTGTATGATTCACTGAGTATATACAGTGACTACTGGACGCAGTTAAACATGGGTCCAAACACATGCTAGTGACAGTAATTGTTGGACATAGTGAAGATGTGTCTGTTCATAGATGGTGATGTGATGGTGGACATGATGTATCCCGAGAACTAGAGACATGGAGGTTCCTACACTAGCTTTCACATTTTTACATAAGGAATAGGTTATGAGAAATATGTAAACATCAGCTACATGTAAACAAAGGTACACAATGTAGAGAATATGTCACAGTATCTGGGCTGCAACAAATTACACATGAATAATGTAAATATTATTTTACATTAATGTTTATACATAGCTCCAATACATAGGATCTCATATACAAAGTTTGTGTTATACATTTAATTTAAACAGTCAAAATTAAAACCTATAAAAGTTTGAATATATAAATTACATATGATTATCCAACAAATACAAGCAAATTGTATCTAGATGTAAAAATAAGTAAAACAGATATTCAAAGATTTATGAAATTGAAGACAAATCAGCCTATGCAATAGAATTAAAACCTTCACCGCCTGAAAGACTACGAAGCTTGAACTTACATCCTTGAGAAAAGTCCTGAGTAAGAGAGGCCATGAGTGAGAGGCCATAAATGAGAGGCCATGAGTCTGAATAAACGAACTAGGTTTTTAAGACCATCAAATCCTGTCCAAAACAGTACTACATAGAAGTTTTACAAGAAAATCTTAAGATTAACATCAGATATTTTATTATCAAGTCTTCTGTATGTGAGTCTTAGTACCCTATTGGCCTAATTTTAAATATTGATGCATTTTTTTTTTTGTGGCATGAACCCCCCACCGAACTGAGACTCTCAGACTCCCTTATTGGACTCGGTAGAGTGCCAGGTTGAATACTTTTTATCCTATCGTGGTCGACTGGGTTAAGGCAAGCGTATGTCATTCAGTAGAAAGCTGGTTCACAACCCAGCATTGCTCCAACTGGTTTTTCTAATTGATTGTTCATACCATTCTGCTTTCTTTGTCTTCTTTCACAATCTAATTTAATCTGTTACGAATCACCCATAATACATTTTCCATTCCAAAACAATTCTCATTTGTGCTTCTCATCAATTTCTTATGTCAGCTAGTATCAAAAGCCTAATTATACCCTAGGGCTCTAATATAATCGTTTTTTCACCTGTCTATTGATTTAAATGATTGAAAATAATTAAATCTAATTAGTAACATATGATCGTCCTAATCTCATGTGATCAGGAAGCAACTCACCTTACGGAATCTCTCGAGGTTGGCCATGAACGGCGGTCAGGTACAGGAGCCGAAGTTGATGACGAAGGGTCGTCCAGGGAGGGCCAGGTCCAGAAGGTGGCACTCTGATTTGTCACTCAGACGCAGCATTCTAGGGTTGGGTGCCTTCCCGCCAGCCTCGGCCTCCATCCTCGCCTCTGCCCAAGCGCTGCAACACCGTCGCATGGAGTATTGCACTGAATATGCAACATTAATCTTGCATGTTAGCTATTGTGCACATAAACAACTATTTAAATACCAGTATACACATTGGGACCGAATGGTGAATAAATATTGAGACCGCACGTTGGACTCGAAACTGCGCTTCTGAACTCCTGGGGAACATCACGGTCCAGATGGTAGTGCATGTGCCTGAGGACTTCATGGGTGCAAGTTCGATCCCATAACACGGCCTCAATATTTATCCATAGAGTCAACACAATCTTGTGATTCTGCTCTACATCGTATGACGGCTACTCCCGCCCATTTTCACTACCACTAGCAGACAAAAAAATATATATCTTCTATGACAAAGTTGATTTGGTTAGAAAAGTATCTCAAGGAAAACCTTAGTTTTCCATTTCCCTGCTGCTCACCAATAGATATTGAGCTTCAGTATCTGCCAGGCGTTCGGAAGATCGGCCAAGTGACAGAAGAAGAATATAAGGTATCTGTTTTTGCTCGCAGACCTCCATTTACGACAGAGATCACGTGCGGACTTGGGGCACCATGCGAAGATCGGGGCAAGGGGCACTGCCACAGTGGCTGTCACCAGCGCCGCCACAATCTTCACCGGCAGGAGAAGGAAGGTCTTCACGACCCTTGGCATGGCCATTATACACTTGGCCTAGTCAAATCTTTTGATCCCGAGAGATCAATAAGACCCCTCGGAACTACAACAAGTAATTATTGTCAATTCTGGGACCGGAGGTATATGATGATCACAGGTACCATGCAGCCTACCCTCAGGCTAGATCAGAAGTACCCCTGGCAGGCTAAAGGAAGAACCAGGCTATGCAAAGGGGCTCCAGCTTGAGATGATCTGAGTACAATACTTGAGTCCAAGAGGTAATATGATGGGGGTCCAAACCAATCACTCAGAGCACAGTTCGCCAGAGGCTGACTGGGTCACTGGGCAGACTCCACACACACACACATGTACCCTGCACGTATGCTCTGCTAGTCACCCTCACTGAACACTCTGCCAAGACCAACTTAACCACATCCACGTTTACTCTACCTCCCGAATGATAATTGCTAGCACCCAAGAACGAAAACATTTTAGCACCATGATTTGTAACAGATAATATAAGTCTGTTTCGTTTGCATAGATGCGTGTGGTAGGCAAAAAAAAATGTATCTTTAGTTTTATAACTGACATCTCATATTTGTTATCATAGAAATGTCGTCACAGAAAACCTTGGGGTGCCTCGCAACCCGATAACGATACCCCCCCCCCCCCTCCCTCTCTCTCTCTCTCTCTCTGTCCAAGAAAGAGAGAGAGGGGGAGTCCATCTCTTGAGAGAGAGAGAGAGAGAGAGAGAGAGAGAGAGAGAGAGAGAGAGAGAGAGAGAGAGAGAGAGAGAGAGAGAGAGAGAGAGAGAGAGAGAGTGGGGGGGGGGGTAGATGCGCCTCCACGCATCTACCAACAACACGGTGCCTCTAAGTGCGCAGCAACACCAGTATTCCTCCACCACCTGACAAACAACTGTGATAAACCTCAGATACAAACACACACACACACACTGTACTTGCAGTGTTATCATTTCATTTTTTCACAAACAATAATGTTCAAACCAGCTTTCACCTTAACACATTTTGTAGTTTTTGAATAGTGATTAAATAGTGATTGTATTGTATTGTACTGTATGATGTGGAATAGACATATATTTCTGATTCCATAATGGAGATACAATTGAGGTATGCGCATTACAAGCCTAACATTTTCCAATTACAGCCCGTTAGAGCCTTCACACACGTGCAACAGATATACTGGTATACAGGTATACAGGTTTACAGGTGTATATGAGCAACTTTACTTTCCTAGTTATGGAGTAGGAAGCTTTTTCGAATCAAATTGCTTTTAAACATAATTGTGAGATGGCTAATGGCTATCGAGTCGTCGTTATTGGATGTAATACGCCGAGATCATGTCTTTCTCACTACCTCAATTTTCTCGCTGTCAGTTATAGATACAATGCTAAAAAGGATATATATATATATATATATATATATATATATATATATATATATATATATATATATATATATATATATATATTAATATATATATTATATATATATATATATATATATATATATATATATATATATATATATATATATATATATATATATATATATATATATATAAATATAAATAAATATTCATTCTCGTGTCCCCCGCGGCCAAGTTAGAGGTGTGTTAGACATTATTGTCTAGTGAGTATTGACCACTCAACCACAGTTAATTGTGGCACTTTTACAATACTATTTATACAATACATGCAGTACATACATATTCGTCTATCGTTCAGAGGATGGGTATGAGGTGCACACCATCTCACAGAATGGGCATGAAGTGCAGAATAAATGAACTAAACCGAAAAACTAACTGTGATGGGTGTCACAAGACAGGGATCTACACTGAGACTGACCTCTTAATGTACACCTTCATCCTCTCCCACAAGTATCGGTAGTCCTTGATATTGCGGAGGCAGGTGAGGTTGGGGTAGCCAGACCTCACCTCAGTCGCCTCCAGGAACCTGTCGTACATCACCTTCTTCCACCAGCTGGAGAATGCTAACAGCGTCGTTACCCAGTCCATCACCAGCACACATGCTATTTGCAACGGCAGAACAGCGTACTGGATAATCCTATACGTTACCATTGCATGAAGTTGCGGAATGTTATTCCGTTTCTGGTCTTTCGTGGAACGTCCCGCTCATATGACGTTAAATCCCCACGTGAGTATCACAGCCTCAACGATGTGACTACACAGGCCTCAACACAAGCTGCATGACGTGCACAGTGAGGCACAGTTGCCATAGGTTTCACCTCATTCTGCTGAAATGGATTCAATTTTCTGATATTGATATAACTCTGATCAATCCCCGCTACATCTTATGTATTAGGATATTATATTATGCTGCAACCACAGCCAAATATCCTGCAAAATGTCATGGGTTTGTGTAAAAAGTATTCTTATCCTCGTCAATAATATATTTACACACAGCCAACTCTGCCAACCAAGTAAGTTAGCCAACATAGGATGGTGGTATCTATGTTTATCGTGGAAAAATTATCAATTTTTGTATGTATAACTGATGTCTGGAATATTCTTTTACTTGGATGTTATATGGTATAAACATTGCAGCCACAGCCAAATATGTCACCGAGTTCCATGGTGTTGTATAGAGTACTGTATATACTTGTTGATTTAGGAACGACAACGACTAAAGGGTTGAATACGCCCAGGGGCTACCCAGGTTCGGGAAATGACGAAAAGGGGGTTGGAATCCCGCTTACAACCTCTTCAGATGGAGGCCTACCAATAAAACCCTAAGTGTGGCGAAGTACCTCATATCTCGGTCTAGTCGTCCCTCGTACCGACTTCGTCTAGGAGAACGGGGTCAGCGAGGCAGGAGATAAGTACCTCGTATGCACAGCAACTTTCACTTAAAACATATCTGCCCTTTGTCCACATTTTCAATTTCCCCTCAGAATCTTATATGTTGTTATCATGTCCCCCCCTCTGTTTCTCTCTCGTCTCCAGGGTTAGAGGGTTGGTTCTCTTAGTCTTTTCTCATAGCTTATAATCCCCTTAGCTCTGGCACTAATCTTGCTGCAAACCTTTTTTCTTTTTCGGCTGCAGTTTTATGCTACACAAGACGCAGATTTTAGGCCAGTACTGCATATTTCAGAATTTTTGTAAGGCTGAGAAGATTTTCCTGAAAGAACACTGATATAGGTTTCTGAACGACCTACTAATTTTACCAGTGTGTTATAATAATCATATGTTATCCTGTTTATGCTTACCTCTGGAGATAGTGTGGGTATTATATATATATTTCCAAATTTATATATTATATATATATTTCGAATTATATATATATTTCCAAATTTATATATTATATATATATTTCGAATTATATATATATTTCCAAATCTTTTTCTGTCTCTGATTCCTGTAGTTGCGTTTTCCTTATGGTATAGATACCCTCCTGATCTCCTCTACATTCCTCATTACCTTGCACTTTCTGGGATTGAATTCTATCAACCACTTGTTTGCCAACTCTTGGAGGGTATCAACTTCTTCCTTTAACTTTCTGTAGTTCTTCCCAGCTTTTTCATTCGGCACTTGGATGCGTTGTCTGCAAACATTGATATATACGAACTAACTCCTCCGATCACGCCTGAAGAACCACATGTCTTATGATATTATAACTTGGAACCTAATATTTGACTGTGACTCTTTGTTTCCTGTTCTAAATTATCAGTGTCTTCTAAATTATCCCAACTTACTGCTCCATCTTGTTCACCAACCTTTCACAAGGAGCAGTATTAAATGCTTTTTTTTTTTTACAATGTAGGAAAATACAGTCAACCTATTCCCCTCGTTGTGTCCCTGTCTTGGTTTAGTAAACTGGAGCTGAATCTGATATGTCGGGCACGACTTTTCCTTTCTAAATCCAAGTTGCAATTTGTATACAAAGTTTATCCTCTCCAGTTGTTCAAATATTCTCAACCTGATTACTTTACCTGGAATAATTGTCAGTGACACCGGTCTAACATATGGTACCTCCTGTCTCTCTAAAATTATTGAATATTGGAACTACGTTTGTCTATATTTGAGAATGAATACGTGTATTTGTTTAAGACATTACAGATCAACAGCATGACTCACCATCCCATAAAAAACTTCAATCTCCGCCAGAAGTATCGGTAGTCGGAGACATTCAGGAGGCAGGTGAGGTATGGGTCGCCCTGCCTCACCTCCATCACCTCCAGGAACCTGTCATACACCACCTGCCTCCACCAGCTGGAGAAAGCTGACAGGGTCGTCAGTACGCAGTTGATCACCAGCAGACATGCTATTTGCAACGGCAGAACAGCGTACTGGATAATCCTATACGCAGCCATTGCGTGAAGTTGCGGAATGTTATTCCGTTTCTGGTCTTTCGTGGAACGTCCCGCTCATATGACGTTAAATCCCCACGTGAGTATCACAGCCTCAACGATGTGACTACACAGGCCTTAACACAAGCTCCATGACGTGCACAGTGAGGCACAGTTGCCATAGGTTTCACCTCATTCTGCTGAAAAGGATTCAATTTTCTGATCTTGATATAACTCTGATCAATCCCTGCTACATCTTATGCGTTAGGATATTATACCATGCTGTAACCACAGCCAAATATCCTGCAAAATATCATGGTTTGTGTAAAAAAGTATTCTTATCCACGTAAATAATATATTTACACACAGCCAACTCTGCCAACCAAGGAAGTTAGCCAACATAGGATGGTGGTATCAACGTTTATTGTAAAAATATAAATTTTGTTCTTGTATAGCTCTGATGCCTGAAATATCCTTTTACCAGGATATTATATGGTATGTATGGTATAAGTATAATTGCAGCCACAGCCAAATATATCACTGAGTTCCATGATGTTGTATAATAGAGTACTACACGTCCGTAATAAATGAAATATTTGCGCACTGCCAACTCTGAAGGGAAAGCGAGGTGCATGGTAATTTTTGTCTTCACCTTGGTGAGCTAATTTATTGGGCAGCGTCACTCGTCCTGTGAGTGAACATACCGCCAGAGTGACGGTACTGGACAGCGTCACTCCTCCTGTGAGTGAACATACCGCCAGAACGACAGTATTGGGCAGCGTCACTCCTCCTGTGAGTGAACATAGCGCCAGAACGACAGTATTGGGCAGGGTCACTCCTCCTGTGAGTGAACATACCGCCAGAACGACAGTATTGGGCAGCGTCACTCGTCCTGTGAGTGAACTTACCGCCAGAATGACAGTATTGGGCAGCGCCACTCGTCCTGTGAGTGAACAGACCGCCAGAGTGACGGGACTGGGCAGCGTCACTCGTCCTGTGAGTGAACATAGCGCCAGAACGACAGTATTGGGCAGCGTCACTCCTCCTGTGAGTGAACATACCGCCAGAATGACAGTATTGGGCAGCGTCACTCGTCCTGTGAGTGAACTTACCGCCAGAATGACAGTATTGGGCAGCGCCACTCGTCCTGTGAGTGAACAGACCGCCAGAGTGACGGGACTGGGCAGCGTCACTCGTCCTGTGAGTGAACATAACGCCAGAAGGACAGTATTGGGCAGCGTCACTCGGCCTGTGAGTGAACATACCGCCAGAGTGACGGTACTGGACAGCGTCACCCATTAACACACCACTATAGCAGCATGTATACAACACCTCCCAATTATAGAAAGAAACTCGTCTAGATTGTTCATCCTGCCATTTAATGCTGACACGCAGCTGGGGGATTTACTTGACTGTTTCAAGTGAACTCAGATTGTCAAAGAAGGGATTTACATAAGTCGTTTTGATGGGGACAGTCAGCCTGTGGCTTTAGGCTCGTATCGAGGGCCCATGAAGGTGGAACTACTGACTCACCCCAGGATGCTCCAGCACATCAGTTGACTATCTCCCGAGTTCTTTACTTACTGCTAGATGAACAGCGGCGTTAGGTCAAAGGAAACGTGCCCAACTAGTTCTGTCTCATCCTGGATTTTAACCCAGAATTAGCAATTGTGAGTTAAGAACGAACCCAATTGTAGGTTCCTGGTTCGATCCTCGGTGGAGGCGGAGACAAATGTTTCTTTCACCCTGATGCCCCTGTTACCTAGCAGTAAATAGTTACCTGGGAGTTAGACAGCTGCTACGGGCTGCTTCCTGGGGATAGGTAACAAAAAGGAGGCCTGGTCGAGGACCGGGCCGCGGGGACGTTAAGCACCGATATCATCTCAAGATAACCTCAGGATATACTACCGAAACCCCAACTTCATCTAGCAACCTTCAAGTTTACGTTATCTTGGGTGGGCAAAGTTGGGGGACAGTAAATATATGACTAAAAGTACTTTCCTAACTCAAATACTGTGGGACTTATTAATCTACACATCTTTCTAATGTCTCTGAGATGGGAACACAGTCTCTCAGGCAGTGGTTCAAGACCATGTCCTTCACTCATGCTGTAAAACAGTGCAACAATAGTGATATTGTTAATTGGGGGAGATATATACGAGAGTTGTTACATTCTTGTACAGCCACTAGTACGCGTAGCGTTTCGGGCAGGTCCCTGGAATACGATCCCCTGCCGCGAAGAATCGTTTTTTCATCCAAGTACACATTTTACTGTTGCGTTAAACAGGGGCTACAGTTTAGGAATTGCGCCCAGTAAATCCTCCCCGGCCAGGATATGAACCCATGACATAGCGCTCGCGGAACGCCAGGCGAGTGTCTTACCACTACACCACGGAGACAATATTTTCTAATTCATTATTTCAATATTATTTAGTGTGTGGGTTGGGGATTGAAAAGATTACGGTAGTATCGTCAGCAAATAGAATAGGATTAAGAGCAGAGACGTTTGGCAAGTCATTTATTGATGTATATATAAGAAATATCAGTATAAGGAGCCAAATCTCATATATAGATATATAGGCATAATACTGCCCCGTGGTGACTGAGAAGCAAACACAGGACGTATATATGTGTTATTTCCCTCTTACAAGGGCTGCACATTACCCCTACGTGAGGTGTAAAACACTATATTGTTCTAGCTTTAGCTACTCAGAACGAAATGTCCATGTAGCACGGGCTATGGTGAACCCGTGAAAAGTGATACACTAGTCAGCGCCATCTGTTGAGTGGATGTGTCAACTCCGTCGCGGTGTGGGACTGCCAGACGTCGCCAGGGCTGGAAACTGCTCTTCGTGTTTGTTTACATGTTTACAGCCACCCGCCCCTCTCAGCTGGCGACACTCACCCTCACATGACCACAACCTGATTGATCAGCTGCCCTGCTCCTCCTCTCCCGCTGCTGGTTCATACGAGCTCGACCCTGTTTTTTCCCACTTGAAGGTTATTTATATTGGTAAGAGTTGTGATGTTTATAGTTATATGGTTGTGAGAGGCGACATATGGTTGTGGTGCGGAGCTTGTGACGTAGACTGCTTCATGTACGTGACCTGTGATAAATAGCCTTTGTGATGCAGACAGCATGATGCAAACATGATCTGTTACCAAAAATGCAACCCTGTGACACGCACGCAGTATGATGCAAACGTGACACACGACGCAGACACAACCCTGTGACGCAGCATGATGCAAACATGACCTGGGAAGCAAATACAATCGTTTGACGCAGACCGCATGATGCAAACATTGACCCATGACGTAAACACAACCCTGTGATGCAGACAGTATTCATAACTTGCATACAATTATTTGACCCGATGAAAGGTCTTGCTATACCCAACATGGTATGCCGAAATTAAAAACATACATAACACGATCCCACATTATTCATCCTAACCCAACCTAGCGTAACATGTGTAAACCAGCCTAACATAATCATGTTCGGCTTTAATATGAAAATGGGCTTTTTTACGAAATTCCTGTTTTCGGCTTGACGGTACATGATGAACGTGTTCCTGTCACCTGGTTAACATGATGAAAAGATGAGCTGTGGTCCTACTTGCTCCTGCGATGCAGGCCTGGTACCCCAGTTATTTTTATAATTTTGGGATCTCTGGTATACTATATTTTTTTAATTGGCCAGAAGAGTTGGCTTGATAGTCGATATTTCAAGAAAATAGGCGTCACCGTGTACAATAATTATGAAATTTTCAACAGTGATTTGAGAGAACACTGTATTGTCTCGAAGAAAGGAGTTGACCAGCACACTACTTAATCAAACCCAAAATGTCGGAGAAACCTCCTCCATACAACCCTACTGCTTATCCATCCCCTGGGCCTCCACCTGCAAGTAAGAAGTACATGTGTTTATTTACATTGGACTATGGAGATTAGACCTCTAAAATATTTTATACATTTTGTATTCCCTGTGGTAGGGAACACCACAGTACATTTTCACAGTACATTTATTGCATTAAAACTTGGCATTTTTGGTTTGTTGCTTTCTTTAAAATGTTTTTGGATTTAAATCATTGTCATTTAATTGACAATCTCTTCAAATATACAATAATTGTAATTATATTTGCTTGAAATTTGGTATCATTCTGTGCTCTACATCTTGATTTCTTGTAATTTCAGCTTGCCTTAAATTAACATTTTTGGGGGTATGAGGGTTAAGTTTGTTGAATAGCCTATATATATATACAGATGAAGTCACAATGTAGCTGAAAAACGTTGCCCAAATCACACTAGAAATTGAATAGACGACGACATTTCGGTCCGTCCTGGACTAAGTCGAGGCAGTCGACTTGATAATGGTCCAGAATGGACCGAAACGTCATCGTTTCTTCAATTTCTAGTGTGTGGTTTGGTCAACAGCCTATATATTTATATGTTGACTTCTTGTTGGTAATAATCTATTTATTAGATTTAATTACTGTATGTAAATTTTAACTTGATTCACTTAGTACTTGAGAAACAAATAATTATGAAGACTTTGTTATAATAGGAAGAAACAAACCTAATGGAAATCCTTCAAATTTTATAAATTCAGTTCAAGACTTGTTTCTTTTATTTAAAAATTTTTGACATTTTCAGTGGGTCCTCCTCCCCCTTACCAGCAGATGCCACCCTCACCTGCCCCAGTGGGCTTTGTCACTACTCATCCCATGAGCAGTAGCACAACAGTAATCACCTCTCAGCAACCTAGTTACGGGGCTATTCCTGTAATGGTGAACCCAGTTAGAGCCACTGATGTGATTATTGTTGGTGGCTGCCCTGCCTGCAGGGTATGTACAGTATAGCAAATACTAAAGTATATTTAAACCAGCTTCTCTTTCAGTGACTTGTGTTGTGATCATGCATTTTCCATCTTTTGCCGTCTTATTCCATATTAGAATATAAAGCATGATTCTGAAATCATCAACTTTTAATATAGTTGGGCTCCTCCTTTTTTGTTTTATATACATATATATATATATATATATATATGTATATATATATATATATATATATATATATATATATATATATATATATATATATATATATATATATATATATATATATATATATATATATTTCCTATTATGTCCTTGGATTGGGTTGTTTCCTCTTTGACCTCGGCTCCGCTTTCTTGTCGATTCTTGCTACTGGTAGTCATGTTTGCAAACTTCATGCTCTCTGCAAAAGGTTTTGTTCCTTCTGATCAGGGAATTGCACCGTCTTGTCTTCAGCCTTCTTTTTTTCTTTAGGGGTAAGAACAAACCTGTTGTGTCTTGAGGGCAGGCTGAACCCTTCAGTGAATTGTGCTGCCACCTGGTGGTGTGCTTGGGTACTAGTGCATGATTTGTTGACACTAGGCACACTATTGTTTCCATTTGTTTCTGATTTGTCTACCAAGTTTATTTTGCTTTGTACATTACGTGGATTGCCTGTTTTGCTCCGATCTTGGCTCACCATGATCCTCTCAGCTCTATGAACTCCACCAAATGGTGGTTGTGGTGTTTGGTCGCCCTGTGAAGTTCAGAGGTCTAGTAGTTTTCCTGTTTGAGCCAATTTATGACCTGAGGCCACCGAAAGAAGGATAATTTTTTATTAATAATAATAATATCCTGCAAATTCATGGCTTGTACTTACTGGGTTAAACTGAAGTGTTATTGCTTTGAAATTAATTTGTGATTGTAGTTCAGGTCCATCAATTAAAAAAAATAGTTTCTTTAGAAACCTAATTTGTTGCAACTTCAACAAATTATAACGTTTATGACTGAACTAAATGGGTGTACCGCAGTTTAAATCACATTTTAAATTGTAGACATTAATTGAATAACATTTGGCTTATAATTTGAAAGGTGACATAAATTTGGAAAATTATGTATAGTTTACCTTTTGACAGGTGAAACCGATATTGGTAAAACATGTATGTGGCAAAATTGGGACAAAACCATTTGAAGTACCACTAATAGAAACTAATTAGACCTTGAAGTTGTAGAAGTTTGCACACCTACATAATGTTACATAGTGAATAAATAGTTTGAATTTTGTAATTAAACTATGTAGAAGTTCTTGCTCATTTATATTAAATTTTTCAGGTTGGTGTACTGAGTGAGGACTTTACTCTAGCGGGCTTATGTTGTGCCTTTTGGTTCTTCCCTGTTGGTATTCTTTGCTGTCTAGCCATGAGAGAGCGACGCTGCAGCAATTGTGGAGCTTGTTTCTCATAGGTTTGTGAAGCATATTTGAAGTCCATCCTTAAATATTATTAACAAGCTGGGAAAACTATTGCTTCGGTAGAAGGAGACAGGTTTATTTTTTATGGAATATTTGCCCAATATGCTCCTGACTTTTAAAAAAACACACAAAAAAAAAGATTGGTTGAAATAGAAATTTATTTTGCATAGTTCTTACACAGTAGAGATTGTATAAGCCAGGTCTTCATGCACTTGTATCCATATGTGTAGTTATGATTGGGCAAGTTTGTTGGGTTGGTTATTACATGATTATCAGATTCTTGGGAAATAAAAGTTTAATTTTGTTTATAATGAAATAACTTCTCACGACATTAGGTGGACCGAGTTTTGTAAATCGGCTGTCCAAGACATTGATGTGCTATTGGGTTATCTTAATTATGCATAAACTGTGCCTAGTAGGAAATGGAGCTTCCCAGTACTGTAGTTACATTAGTTTAAGCTGTGAGAGGGTTGAAACTTGAGTATTAGAATATTTATGATTCCTGTACTACTTCTTGGTAATTGTTTAATTATGACATTCTCTTAAAAATTAATTTAATTTATACTGAACGTACTATGGTGTGGATTAAACTTACTTTCTCATTTTTAATCGATTAAGAACTGGTGATTAAGCATGAACTTGGCCCAAATTGTTTAAAACTTGCAGTAAAAATCTAAATTTTTGTAATGCTGTAATTTAGTGATCTTTTCACATGGTTTTATAGTAGCATTAACCTATAATTGTGCTAACTATGAAAGTATTAGGAAATGTGAGGTTGCTAATAATATTTTTGGTGACAATAGTTGCTTTTAAAGTCTTGGAATTTGGTAGTACCTGTTAATCTATTTATTCACAGCCAGATTACATAAACATCAATAACTTTACCTTGTGATATTTTGCATCACAGTTCTTGAAATATTCCAGCAGACAAAACATGTCCCAGTAATGTTAAATTGATGTAGAATCAATGTTGTCTACATTGATTCCATGTTAATCAATGTTTACCCATTGTTGGATTGCATTCTAGGCTTTGCACTCTTTTGATACGATTATTCCAGCGTTAGCCATTTTGGTATCTGATGAAACTCCTAAATGTAATGGGATAGAATCAGGATTTATTAAATGAGACTGTGAGCTATCATTTAAGATAATTTTCCTTGGCTAAAGATGCACTAAAAAAATATTTATTTTTTCCATTGAGAAATTGGTAATACTATAACAAATACTGCTGTAAAATTGGCTAAAATTGTACATTATAAGGAATTTACCAGCTACTTTAGAATACTATACTTCAAAGAAAAGTTGTCCTATAAGTTTATTTCACAATATGATCACACTTGCACGTGCACTCACTCAAAACGATTTCAAATATTGTTTGCTTGAGGCATAAATTTTCTTGCATTAAAGATTTTGCCTTGTCACATTGTCCTATTCGTGTCATTGTGTCCTTTAAAGCCAATAACACAATAGGATGTGTGTTTTTTGGGTTAATTTTCTAAAAATTAATTATGGCACGTGTTGAAAGAAATGACTACTAAAATTTCATTATTTACGTATTCTATTGATAAATACAGGTTCAGCAATTATATTTAGTAGCTATTTAAACAGGAGGAAATATAGTAATATATTATACATACAGTATATATATGAGTCTTTTGTTTTAATGATCCTATGATTCCATTTTTCTCAACTATATTATTTTTCTTAATGTTCAAATGTATTCCCATCAGTCCAAACTACACATTACAAGAGAGTATATTGAGGCCATACGACGGGATGAAACCAGCATCCCCAGATTACCCCCCCCCCCTCTCTTTCCCTCGGCACATATTCAGTCAGTAGTGCGTGTTCCTGGGGAGTTTAGGGATGCAAGTTCGATGTCATTGTACAATCTTGGTATTTTCTTCCCAAAAACATTACGTTCTAGCAATTTTGTTGTAGGCTTTTTAATGTTGCAAGTAAGGGGTAAATATTGGCATTATTGCTGTAGCCACATTCAAATTTAAATGGAGTAATGCTATCTTTGGGAGTAAATTGACCCCATGCTTCTTAAAATATTGATAAAGGTTGTAAGTGTGCAAGTGTGTTTTTGGGTAAATAGTTTTTTAGATGCGTGTTATTTTATATGCCCTCAAAGAGAACACATTCTTGTATTCGATAATAACTGAATTACTGTATTATACAGATTTAAAGGCATATGCAGTATATATAGCTGTTTATATATTGATACAGCTTCCAGCAGTACTATAATGAGGTGGTTTGTTTAAAGTGTCGGGTTTGATGAAACCTTTGTGTAGGTGACTAGTACTAATGCCAGGTGCAAAGTTGCACTGTCTAATATGTCTGGCATGGTGGTGAGTTTGTAGATTTGCAACCCATCTGTAGCTTGCATTGTACGATGAATGACATTTGTTTTGCCGATGGTTTGGGTTATCTGATAAGATGGTATTTGCCTCGCAGTGAAAATACTTTTGGAGCCTTCTCGTATAATCAATATTTACTTTCATAAGATAAAAAAAAGATACTTTACAGTATTTCACTTCTTTCCCTCGTCTAAATTTTGTATCATTTTAAGAACAAATTTTGTAAGATTCATTTTTAATGTCTGGTGTAAGAGTCTTAATCTTTGGTATTGCATAAACTCCACTTCAGATAGTTTAATATCTTATTTTGTATTAGTATTTTTTTTTTGGTTTATAAATTTTGTGCTCTTAATTTAGTCATTTTTGAGATTGCACTTAACCTAAAGAAACATTTCCTATGTTTTTGTTACCAAGTGAAACAATAAGGTGAACTATGTATTTTATATCTTTAATGGAAGTATCGCACTTTGAAGAGGTATCCTGTATTTATTATTATACTATGTTATATATATATATATATGATGTATGGTTAGGGTTTCTGTTGTAAATCTCATGGTAAACCTCGAATTAAGATCATGATCTAGGCCACCAAATTAAAAACTAGATAAGGTGGACGTTTTGGAGAGGTAAACGTATGGTTGCTGCCAGTCTCTTGATGAAATAAAATACTTTAATCTTTGTTAAATGTATTACATTAACAAAAATTTCCTTATACAGTACGTGCAAAATTATGATTCTGGCTATTTTTTCTTTTACATCGGTACTTTTTTGTCGGAAAATGTGAAATATATTGCCACCTAATGTTTCTATGAGGTTCTGTTTATTTAATTAAGAATGATACTTTGTGCTATTGTTTGTATGATTATGTACTGTACTTCTGATTTATATATCTTGTCATTGTTGACCTAATCTGGATCAAATTATATCACTATTTTACCATGGTTAGAGTTTTAAGAATTTTTCCATAACTTCACGCATGTACGTGTGCATATGTACATAAATTTGTTACATGTATGCATATTCTAGTAATATGCATGTACACATATGCATACAATGTATAACTAGCTTTTCTACACACAATAAACTGGTTTTGGTTATATATAGAACAGTTTTGATGGTTAAAAGATTTTTGGCTGCCAAACATTGCTAGACCTGTCAGTTTAGGACATGCATCTTGCACACTAAGAACTGATCTAGTACAGTATTTAGTGCTAAAAAGATGATTGGTTTGTCGGTATATAAGTACTTTTGAGTGCACACGAGAGTGAAGTTTGGGAGCTGCCCAACTTTCTCGACTTTGTTGCTGTTGCCATTTATTGTTAGGTTAAATGACCTTGTGTAGTCTGTATATATGATATTGTGATATTTTATGAAATAAAGTTTTAAATTTTTAAAACATTTCCCATCCCCAACGTTAAATTAGTTTTTAATGGCAAGGTTTTGACGTTTAGTAATATTCAGATATTGCATAGGAGTACTGTAGTGTGCTTAATAAATATCTAAAGTACTCCATATATAAAGATTTAATGTTCATGTAAAGGATTAGTGGAATAGAAAATGTTGACAGTTTGATGAGCAATATGATGGGGGGTTATACTGTAAAATAACATTTTAGGAGTACAGTATTGACAGATTCCCCGACCACTAAGTATAAGACAATCAAATTATGGCTAGGTTCCCAGCCACATCAGTGATGCCTTAATGACCTAGTAGATACTACTACTGAAGCCATTCATACTTTTTTTAGTTTTCTCTAAAGCTAATTCATTACTTGGATTTCTGACTTATTCATAATGAAATCTGCAATTGTTTGAGAGATTAAGATTGAAATCCCCTTGGCTTTCCTCCTACCACTGTAATAGTGAGAAATTGTTCTAACTAGGTTGAGCATCTGTCACCAGCCCGTCCTCCAAAAATGGAATGGTAAATGTAAGGAGACAAATAAGTGCAATTATGTACTATTCATAGCAGTTAGGAATTGTACTTATTTTCACTTGGTATTAAATCGTACTGTCAAATATATTGTGAATATTTGAGTTTACCTGAAAAACTGAATAGAAAACCACAACCTCGCCTAACCGTCTTAGTTTTTGAAGATGATAATTTTATTGCTTCTTGATTACAATTAGTGCTTAATCTATAGCTATATTGATATTACAGTTTTATAAAACTAATAAAACAAAAACTAAAATATATCAATAAATTGTAAAGAAACTCAGGATATTTTAAAATTTTGTATAAAATCTTTATTGTTTAATAAACCTGAAAAAGAAATTCCTGATATTTAAAACTTGTGTATAGGAAATTGAAATTGAAAACTTCATCCTAAAATTCTGAGTGTCTTAACAGAAAACGAGGAGAATTAAATTGGGGGGAGGGAGTTGGGTAAGTGTATCAGCCCCATAAGTGTAATTATGCACTGTTTATGACTGTAAGAAAATGTACTTGTTACACTTAGTATTAAATCGTACTGTCAATTCGGAGGATGGGTTGCTGTCACACAGGCTTAATTCATGGGCTCTTGGAACAATACCCTGCTCCCTATTGTCCAAACTACATTGTCCCATGCCTCTTATAGAATATCCCGATCATTGGTCAAGTCTTACAGATAACAAACGGCATACTATATAATGTGACCTCTTGCCACAGCCTTCCTCTTGACACCTTCATTGATAATTACTTTCTTCCTCTTGACATGATGAGTGGTGGGAAAAAAAACAGGCATGTCAACCAGATAGGCCTTATTCGTGTGCACTTAATGGAACAATGCCCTACTCCTTATTGTCTGAACTACAGTATAATGACTCGTTAACAGTTCTGCACCTGCCTCCTCGTAGAATGTTCCAATTTTCAGGATGATTGTAGGGTTTGCTTTTTCCAATGTCCCTCAATAAAACCCTTGGTGACCAATACATTTAATGGTGCTTGTTCTGTCTTCTTGTTCTATACTGGCATTTCTAGTTAGAATCTTTTTGAATATCTGACAACATAGATGGTGCTAAATATATCCCTGCTTGGTGCCTTCTTTTGACACTTACTTATCCAGGTGTACTTTGTAAATATATATTAGGGTTTGTCAATAGTTCTCCATTAAATATTAGATAGCTTCCTGGTGTACTTGGAAAGAATGTTTACAGTATTTACAAGAATATTATTTTATATTCTGTATGTATGTGTGTATATTCCTTCAATGACTTGTCAGTGAAAGCAAGCCACTCATCTAGTCAGGCATGGTGACCTTGATGTCTTCATTGCCACCCAAATTGCTGTCCCAACTCTATTATCTTCCTCGGCATCAGATGACCTGATCAAGGAAATTCTACCAGACTATCTGGGGGACTCAATGGGGATACATTACCCCCTACTAAATGGAATGCAAGACAAAATGGGGCACCCTTGCAGACCCAGCACTCGGACCAATGCTTCTGAAAGACAAACAATCCAGCTTGGACAGCCCCATTGTAGACAAAGAAGCCACAGCTTTGCTGGAGGTAATAACATCTTCCAGTGATCGTGTGCGCCTCACAGCTGTGCAGACCCCCCCATGTAGGGGACTTCCTTTTGGCAGTCTCTATGTCTATGACAGGTACACGTCTTTATCTGCAGCAGCTCTATATTGCAGTTGCTTTGCTTCCCCTTTCCACACTGTATATAGGTGTATTTGTGGTGAGGCAGATTCATATGAATATGGATAGGATGGCCTGCACTACCGAAAATCACGGGGTTTGGACACATGACACAATGAAGTCAACAATGGCATTAAAAGGAGTCTTGCCTCTGCCCAGCGTCCTGCAGAGAGCAAGCCTCGTAATACACCACAACTGCTACCTTTGCTGGTCAACCAGATGGAATCACACAAAGTCCATGGAGAAATGGCAGACAGTTGGTATGGGGCTATACTTGAATATTCACCGAGGCAGTCACATACATCACCCTCTCTCACTCGGTCAAGCAAGTGCTGCGGCCACCACACAAACGGAGAGAAATAAAAAAGTACAGAGAAATAGATCACCGGCTCAACTTTGTTCCAATATGATCTGAGAGCCTTGGTCCATGAAATGTGAATGCATGGAAGTTTCTCAAGAATCTCTGTTCCAGACACATTTAAACAAGAAGAGACAGACCCTAGGGTGGTGAGCTTTCTTTTCTAGCGCTTCAGTGTGATGGTCCAGAGTGGAAATGTCTGCTGCATCATCGGTTCCTGCCAGGCGTCGGAAGAGTTTGATGAAATCTAAAGGCTCTTTGAAACAAATTTACCATTATTTTCTCTTAATGTTCCCATTTTTTAAGGAATCAGCTAGGTAACCTTATATAATAAAGTGTATAATAATAATAATGGGTGGTAGGAGAAGCAAATACAATACTCATATATTTACATTCAAATTAAAGGTTTCTCTGAATGCTAGTTATTCCCTTCTCCAAGGCTATGGGTCCCTATAATTGCACCAGAGGTTATGATGACCAAACCACAACTCGGAAGATAGGAGAAGCGACGACGCTTCGGTCCGTCCTGGACCATTAACGAGTGTAAATGAAGAGAGGAAGGTTCAGACAAATGTCGTCTTTCCTCCATTTTCTGAGTTGTGGTTTGGTTATCATTTCTTCAGCCACATTATTGTGACAAGTCGTTTGCACCAGAGGATGCAATTTCTAATGATAAAATATGTCTTTATGGAAAAAAAAGTATTTTTAAGTTAACAAGAGTATTGGATGTTGATAAACTCTGAGTGTGTTCTCACTAGTCTATCAGTGTCACAAATCCTGAATGTTTCCAAGCCCTGTGATCTGAACAGCAGTTAGCAGTCTCTTTTGGGGGGTATTTCCTGGTATCAGTGATTGCAATAGTACCATTGGTTGCAATGGAACAATTATTTGCAATGGTAATGCCTCACCTGGCCTTATTGGTGGTAGTGGTATTGCCTAGTTACATTGGTGGCAGCGGTGGTTAATACCTGTTAATATTGGTAGTGGTGGTGTATTTATTTAGTAATATAGGTGGTATTATTAGTGGCAACAGGGGGTAGTACCTATTAATATTGGTGGCAGTAGTGGTATCTCCTGGTAATATTGGTGGCAGTAGTGGTATCTCCTGGTAATATTGGTGGCAGTAGTGGTATCTCCTGGTAATATTGGTGGCAGTAGTGGTGTCTCCTGGTAATATTGGTGGCAGTAGTGGTATCTCCTGGTAATATTGGTGGCAGTAGTGGTATCTCCTAGTAATATTGGTGGCAGTAGTGGTGTCTCCTGGTAATATTGGTGGCAGTAGTGGTATCTCCTAGTAATATTGGTGGCAGTAGTGGTATCTCCTGGTAATATTGGTGGCAGTAGTGGTGTCTCCTGGTAATATTGGTGGCAGTAGTGGTATCTCCTGGTAATATTGGTGGCAGTAGTGGTGTCTCCTGGTAATATTGGTGGCAGTAGTGGTATCTCCTAGTAATATTGGTGGCAGTAGTGGTATCTCCTGGTAATATTGGTGGCAGTAGTGGTATCTCCTGGTAATATTGGTGGCAGTAGTGGTGTCTCCTGGTAATATTGGTGACAGTAGTGGTATCTCCTGGTAATATTGGTGGCAGTAGTGGCATCTCCTGGTAATATTGGTGGCAGTAGTGGTATCTCCTGGTAATATTGGTGGCAGTAGTGGTATCTCCTGGTAATATTGGTGGCAGTAGTGGTATCTCCTGGTAATATTGGTGGCAGTAGTGGTATCTCCTGGTAATATTGGTGGCAGTAGTGGTGTCTCCTGGTAATATTGGTGACAGTAGTGGTATCTCCTGGTAATATTGGTGGCAGTAGTGGTATCTCCTAGTAATATTGGTGGCAGTAGTGGTATCTCCTAGTAATATTGGTGGCAGTAGTGGTATCTCCTGGTAATATTGGTGGCAGTAGTGGTGTCTCCTGGTAATATTGGTGGCAGTAGTGGTATCTCCTAGTAATATTGGTGGCAGTAGTGGTATCTCCTGGTAATATTGGTGGCAGTAGTGGTGTCTCCTGGTAATATTGGTGGCAGTAGTGGTATCTCCTGGTAATATTGGTGGCAGTAGTGGTATCTCCTGGTAATATTGGTGGCAGTAGTGGTATCTCCTGGTAATATTGGTGGCAGTAGTGGTATCTCCTGGTAATATTGGTGGTATTGTTACCTATAGTCTCTTTGCTGCTTCTTAAACAATAGACTACTATAATTTAAATAATAGATTTCATTGTTTTCTCTTGATTAACAAGTACCACTGTTATTAATACAGTTGACATAGCTAATGAGAATATGTTTACTTGCAGTGATTATTTTTCCCTAAGTGAAATCACTGGAGTTGATTTGCTGGACCATTGACAATAACAGAATATAATATAAGAATATAATATATGCATTATTTATATGCAAAGAATATAATATTCTTAAGTAAAGAATAATATAAAATACATTACAAACAACATGTGGTATAGTGATATACAATACATAGTGTATAATAATATGCAAAATATACAATTACTTGTCCAATTTGGTAGAGTATTTCATTTTGTAATTATACAAATATGTTTAAGGAACATATATTTAAAGATATAGGTAATAAAATCACATTTATATGTAAACAAACACACATACACACACACACACACACACACACACACACACACACACACACACACACACACACACACACACACACACACACACACACACACACACAACTTAATACTACATAATGGAAACAAAGTTAATTTCCAAGTATATTTTGTTTAAAGAAAATCAGGCCGTCTGAATAATCTTTAAGAAGCCGCTGGTAACTCTTATCACTAGAGGTATATCATATCAGTCACATGGCTTAAGAAATGGCTATGTGATATAGATAATGCTTTTTGTGCCTCACCCAGGAACCCAGGTGCCTCAAGAGGAACCCACCCTGATCCACTTGTGTCTTACCTACCCTGATCCACTTGTGTCTTACCTACCCTGACCCACTTGTGTCTTACCCACCCCTGACCCACTTGTGTCTTACCTACCCTGACCCACTTGTGTCTTACCCACCCTGACTCACTTGTGTCTTACCCACCCTGACCCACTTGTGTCTTACCCACCCTGACCCACTTGTGTCTTACCCACCCCTGACTCACTTGTGTCTTACCCACCCCTGACCCACTTGTGTCTT